TCGAGAACCCCCTCTGTCTTGTGTGTGGCTGTCTTGAACTGCACCCTATTCTGCTTTCCAAGAACACAATATTTGCAAAAATTGAGCTTGCATGTCTTGACACCCTTCAATAGATTTTTCTTATGAAGCTCTATCATCCCACGCTCACTCATATGACCCAGCCGCATATGCCACAAGACTGTATTATCTGATTCAGACTCTACAGCAGCAACTCCACCTACAATTGTAGTACCCAGCAGTCTGTAAATGTTTCCTACTACTTTCTGTCCCTTCATCACTGTCAGCATGCCTTTACTTACTTTCATTACTCCACTTATAGATTTGTAACTATAACCATTACAATCCAAAGTGCCCAATGAAATCAAATTCTTCCTTAGATCCGGTACATGTCTAACATCACACAACGTTCTAACCATACCATCAAACATCTTAATTCTAATATTTCCTATTCCAACAACTTTGCAAGATGCATCATTACCCATCAGAACAGAACCAGAATTTACTGACCTGTAGGTGTCAAACCAATCTTTGTTGGGTGTCATGTGATAGGAACATGCTGAATCCATAATCCAAGAATCTGTTAAACGATCTGAACTAGATAAAACAGAAAGCATATCTCCGTCACCACTCTCTGAATCTTCTTCTTCCACTACGTTTGCAGACTTTGATGCACCCTCTTTGTTCTCTGAATCCCCTTTCTTTTTCTCTGGACAGTCCCGTTTAAAGTGCCCCTTTTTCCCGCACTTGTAACACGAGACAGAGACGTCCTTCTTCTTCTTCCTCGACTTGGACCGGGCTTTATTGTTACCCGATCCATTCCGAGATTTGCTTCTTCCACGTTCCTGGTTACCTTTCACCACAAGCCCTTCACCTTGTGAAGCCTCATCACTGGCTTTCTTCCGCTGATGAAAACCTAACAGAGCACCTGTGACATCCTCCAATTCGAGGGTTTCTTTCCCCCACATCAGAGTCGTAACCAAATTCTCGTACGTAGGAGACGCCGGTAGGGAATTCAGCAACATCAGCGCCTTGTCTTCGTCTTCGAACTTCACATCAACTCGCTTCAGATCGCTGATGATCTGATTGAACACGTTGATGTGTTGGGTCAAATCCGAGCCTTCTGACATCTTAAGACCATATAGTTTCTGCTTAAGATAGAGCTTGTTCGTCAACGACTTGGACATATACCGACTTCCAGTTTCAACCAAACTTCCGCCGGTGATTCCTCATCCATGACGTGATACATCATTTCATCAGCCAGACAAAGCCTAATAGTCGCCACAGCCTTCGCTTCCAATTCTTTCCAATCCATGTTGTCTATTCCTGCCGGTTGTTTTTCGTATAATGCCTTCACCATGTCGGTTGTTTAGACCAAGTTTGGTCACTATATATATGTTTCTGCCTTCTGATAAGCATAGAGACTAGAGAGCAAAACTAAACGTTTACGTGGCGGTCACGGTTCCAGTTGGTGTTACAAAGATATTTTTTGGGCAGTGAGTAGTTCCATTAAATGTAACAAAACTGTAAAATGTAGTTACACCAAATTAGATTTTTTTTTAAAAAAATATACATTAAAAAATGTAAAATTATTAAGTACTTAATTTTGATACTTATTTGTATTCAAGTACATAATTTAAATTTATCTATTTTTATTGTGATATTTTTGCCCTCCATTAATCCATGTGTATTTAATGCACCATTTTTCTTTGAAAAGTGGTGCATTAAACGTCTTCTAGTTTTATAGGATATATATATATAAAAACTTGTTAAATCACGTATCTAAATTTTGAATTATGTTTTAATGCACCTTGATTCATGTATTTTTTTTTTTTTAAAAATGGTTTTATTTTTAAATTAATTCAATATCTGAATAGTGTAATAGTATAACAATAACAGTGTAATAATAAAAATGTAACACTAATAATATAACAGTATAACAATAATAGTATAACAAGCTATTTACACAAAATATTGTACTATTACATTTTGTCAAACATATAGTTTCATATAATTTCATTCAAAATAGTTCATCTCCGTTTTAAATTTGTTACTATATACAAAAAATTACTGAATACTGTTTTTGTTATACTATTATATTATTCAGATATTAAATTAATTTAAAAATAAAACTATTTTTCAAAAAAAAAACGTTTGAATCATAGTGCATTAAATATAATTTGAAAATAAAATCACTTTTCAAAAAAAAAATCGCATGAATCAAGGTGCATTAAAAATAATTCAAAATTTAAATATGAGATTTAACAATAAATAAATAAATAAATAAATAAATATATAAATATATATATATATATATATATATATATATATATGTATTAACAAATACGCATGAATCAAAAGTACATTAAATATGTATTTATATGTATTAATAAACACACATGAATCAAAGTGCATTAAAAATAAGAGATTTTGAATTAAATGATCCTAAAATGGGCATTTATGTCTTTTTAACTTATATTTTGTTTTATGTATTTTTTAGCAAATAAGTCTAATTAGGTGTACCGGCCTCCAAAGAACCCAAACATAATTAAGGCAATAGTTTAGATTGGGTCAGATCTAGGCCCAAATCTAAGCATATTTACAGTGTCTTCAAGCCAAGGCTAAGACCCGATTCGTTCAATATGTGGCCCAATCAACTATGCAACGGGCCAATAGGTTGCTCAATATGTAGTCCAATCTCACAGTATTACGTCAAGCCTAGAGAGCCAAATGAGAAAAAAAGGCGAGAGAAAATGTTGGAAATAGATAGATAAATAACTGGATAGACAAAGGTTGAAAAGATTGAGATCGGTTTGGCCGATCATACTTTTTAGTATAAAAAATGTTAAATAGATTTAAAAACTTAACTTAAAAATTTGATTCGATGAATCATTGCTATTAAATAAAAAGTGAGTCTCAATCTATATTGGGACCCACAATTAAATTAATAATAAATATAACATTTATATTATTGAGTCAATTTTTTAAATCTTTATAACTTTTACTCTTTTAATATTAATGAGAACCTGAATTGCAATTGTTTCAATTTTTGTGCCAAAATTCAAAACATTCGACCAATTCATCGTGAAAAACCCTTAAATTAGTATAATATCAAACCGGAATAATTCAATATTAACATTAATTCTTAATTTATAGGGGACGTATGCATTGTGCAATTGGTTGAAAGAGAAGAGCTCTAAGTCTTTGAAATTTTAAGCTAATGAACAAAACATGTCAACTCAAATATCATAATAAAACAAACTCGAAATTACGTGACACGACTTTGATTATCAGTTTTGTCACGGCATGGGGAATTCTTTGGAAATAATATCAACGAAAAAGAAAATTTTAACGTACAAAAGAATCACGCCACTTGATTATGGTGAAAGCTATGCTTATTTTTCTATAGACATGGGTTTGAGAGGGGTTGGTGTGGCCTACATAATAAATCATTTGTCATCAAATTTTCTGAAAGAAAAAGCCGAGAAACATGTAAGTTGCTCCTGATGGATTATTTAACGTCATTGGTTAACGCGTTTTAAACATTACCAACCAATTATTTGGCTTCCATGATGTGGTGGTTGTGATTGCTCGTGGTGGTCTTTTTTTTTTAAAATAGGTAAAGGTATTCAGGTTTTTTGATTCGGTCAAAACAAATCATCTACACCGGAACTAAGGTATTCACAAAGAATAAATTATTGTATTGTAATGTTCTCTCGCCATTCGTACATGATGCATTAGATATTTAGTCCATAAAACAATTTTTAAGTTAACTCAAAAGGAGACAAAGGGGTAAAGGCCTACCTTCAAAACCCCTCCATTAATATCTCTCTGCCTTCCCTTTTGTTTTCCCCCCTTCTTTTTAACTTTATAGTCCTATTTAAAAGTTTTGATCTATAAAAGCAATACATCTTGAATTCGAGTTTAGGAATTAGCCTTTTCAAGTAATGATATCTTTATTCTAACTCATTTCTTTCAAATCCCGTTTTAGACGGCAACCTCATAAATTGAGTACGACATTTTTAAAGATATTTTCTCATGCTACCGACACTTTCCAAGAACCTTTCATAACCCAAATTTATCAGTACTTATTGTGTTTTGTCATTGAAATATGGAACTACCTAGTAAAGTAGGTCTTGAATTCTCAAGGGCTAGGTATATGTGTTTTATAAAAATTATAGTTTTCATTGTGGTGGGGTATTTTTGCTGCATCATAATACTTTCTAATGGGAAACTGTAAGTCCTTTTTGTTAAGAGTCATGACCGAGCACTGTCTGAAAAGCAGAAACAGCTGGATGCATGATTGCTGAGACTGTGCCCATGATGGAGTTTAATAGTTTAATGTAGCACTTGTTCTAGTTTCCTGTAGATGAAGACCAGAAAAGAGGAAAGATTGGACTTCTTTGAAGGTCTGACTAATAGAAGATTTCCAGGAAAATCTTCATTAAGCATGATGACAGATAAAGAGTTGGAATTAGGAAGAAAAAATAAAACCAAACCGAGTGCACGTCAAGTCTCAAATGTATTGGAACTTGAAACCATCATTTTAAGGTCGTGGTATCAACTATTCACTTAAAGAAGTAAGACATATCGGTCATGATGCCACGGAATAATATCGCATAATACAGACAAAATGCAACATAGAGAAAGAAGTTGAATATGACAAAGTGACTAATCACATATCACGGCGTCAGGGAATAATGGTTCAGCCAATCTGGTGGCAATATGTCATAGAATTCGGGTGGATTCAAAGACGTCTCAGACAACTCGACCAAGACATGTGGGATGGTATCAGATTAGTACACCTGTGATTAAATGTTACTTGCAGTGATAATTGAGAACCGGCCCAATCATATTTCCCCGTAGACCCATTGTGCAAGGTTTGTTGATGATTGTGTTCATTTCAAGTTTATATACTAATCGTGAATCCAAAAAACGCATAGTTGTGATGGCTCTCAGCTAAAGATAAAGATTTAATAACAGTTTGTTGGGCATAGATATTGCAAATGGCCATTCCATGAGTTGCAGATACACCAAACTAAATGATATGGGTTTATGAAGTATATGTAATATCCAAAGCTGAACAAGAAAGCCCTTCAACACAAGTGACTTGCGAGCCTTCTGAAATGTCTGACACCCTTAGAGAAAGGGATTCAACACTACGCTATCTCGCTGACCACAATATTTCTAGAGAGACAACCAATTCACGTGACTCTTGTCTTTAGTAAAGACAAGCTGAACCATTACAAGCACTTACCTACTATAGTTTTCTAGGGCAACTCTTAATATGCCCCATTTCACACATAGGATGCCCTATAGTTCAAAAGTGAAGGGACCCCTTACAAAATAAAGTGCTTATAGCATATCAACTAGATAAGCCAAACCAATACAAGCACTCACTAACAGACACTTCATACTTCTATAGCGTTCTAGGGGCAACTTTTAAATGTCATATTTCACACATAGGGTACCCTATATTTCAAAAGTGAAGGGACCCCTATAAAATAAAGTGCTTATTCCATGTCAAAGTCTTTTCAAATAAATGGAGTGTGGTAGGGCTTTAGAAGAAGGAGCGCTTGGCAGGAGCTCTTCCAATGGCTCTCATCAAGTTGGCAACTTCAAGAATCCTGGCCACTTTGGTTCCCCTCTTGGACTCAGCTGAGGCTCTTCTCTCCTCTGCCTTTCTGTGTGCTTTTGCTATCTCATTCTGCATCTTTTCCATAGCTCTTGCTCTTTTCTCCTCAAGCTTCCTCTGAAACAAAGAGTAAGCATTGTGTTAATGTAAGTGGTTTCAATATAAACACTTTATTAATGCTAATCATGTCTTTCCACTTTGGAGATATGAAAGGAAAATGTCAAATAAACTTAAAACAATTGACTAAAAACTTGCCTTGAGGAGTCACTACCATTGAATAAGTAGTGGGCATAAATTAAAAAAAATTGATAGTGAACCACAATAAATTCTCGGACTTACAGTTAAATTAATAACAAATATAACAGACACATCATGAAGACAGCTTTTTAAGTCAATTTTTTTAATTTGTGTAACATTGACCGGTATGAAAATATAGTAAGAGGAAATTAATGCAAAACAATGAGAAATGAGCAATGTTATTGGAACTTAATTTGAGCAGCAAATTTAGTATAGCGATAGGATTTGCAATGGATCCCATTATTTAATGAATTCCACTGTTAATCTAATGACTACAAATGTATTTGATTGTCAGATTAAGTCCTTATATTTAGTACGAGTAGTATTATTGATGTCAAGGGGAGGGGAATGTTTTACAAACAATTTGAACAAAAAAAATAATATAATTGACCAAGAAAGACTATCACAATTTGGAAATGAAGCAAACAAGCTATATACGACAGAAATTAGTCACTTTAGAAACGGGGTAAAGTTGGCTATCATTCATCTCTCTTAGACTCCGTTTTAGGCGACAGTTCTGTAAACTAGTACAACTTTTTCTAATTCAAACTTTAATTCTTTCTTGTAATGGGAGCTAAACATAATGACCAACAATTATAGAGTATGTGTGGGAGATTGTTCATCCGTGTTGTATAATTTTAGAGGTGAATTGTATTTTATATCTTGAAAGTTTTAAGAATTCTCACTTAACACTTTCAAACATTAAATTTTTCACTTTATACCCTTAATGTATTAAAAGTGTTGCAATGTGTCTGTTATGTTAGTTTTCATTACTTATTCTCTCAACGTATATTTTTTTTTAATGGAATAAGTAACAGAAGCTAGTAGAAAAGTACTATTACAACACTTTTAACACATTGAAGGTACAATGTAAAAAATCTAAACTTTAAAGGTGTAAAGTAAAAAATATTAAATCTTTCAAGTTCTAAAGTGTAACTTTCTCTAATTCTGATGAAAGACAATTGGCCCAACACCCCAATAATTGAGTTTGTTTGGAACTTATTAAATGGGGGAAGATACTTAATTGATATTTGTTCTATCTCATTTCCAGATTTGAAAGAAAGATGCTTTGGATTCTTTAGCCTCTTTGCTCCATACTTTTAAAGAACAAATAAAGAAAAAGATGATTTCCTTATCCGTTGTATAAAAAAGGAAGCTGCTTTTTAGTTGTGAAGGAGGAAGATATTATCTAAATCGATACCGAAAATTTATTTTTCGATACTATGCTTCTCAGCTACAATTCATTTAAAAGTATGACACCAAGGTCTTTTAGAGGTACCATAGGCTTATCCTTTAATTCTAGTCGAGTTAGGCTTATCCTAATTTAGGAACATATTCATTATAGCTGTTGGATGAGAAATTGATATCTTCTGACATTGAAACTCATAGTTATTATGAGGATGGTAATGAATTAGGTTTTCAGATTAAATCTCTAAATTAAATCTAAATAACATTCCTCGTGCGTAAATAAATTTAGTGTTCCCACCATGTAGAAGTCAAGAATAATAGGGAACAAAGTCTTCTCTTTTTTTGGTGGGAATATTGAACATAATCTTAACTCTATGTTCTAACTTTGTAATAAATAGCTAAGATGAGTACCATAATCTCATAAAAGCGTATTTGCAATCCGGGACGGATCAAAGAAGACAATCTAAAAGTTAACGCAATTAAGCGTATATAGTTTGAAAGTATTCATAGTTTGTGGTAAGCGTATATAGTTTGAAAGTATTCATAGTTAATACTAGTATAATAAAGAGATTTTCAATTATTTGAAAGACGAATTCCCTCCCCCAAAAAAAACACAAAATCAACCATTGTAGTGATAGCTAGCAAGAAATTGGAAAAAGTTAAAATGCATGGACTAAGTTTGCTTATACGTACCTCAACTTTCTTCATCCATGAAGTGCTCTTCTGAACTTGCTCACCCTCCAAACCATTGATTATGGCGTCCTCACGCTTAAAACGATTGTTGATCTTCGCGATTTTTGCTGTCTGCCAAGCATTTATCTTCGACTCGACCTCCTCTTTCTTCACTCTCTGCACTGAAACCTCACTGTGATTTCCGTTCACCAAAGAGCCCCCGTCCGTGGTAGGTCTAGGGGATGCCACGGGGTCCAATGGATTATTGTCCGGCACTATAGCCAAAGGGTTTGTTTCCTCTTCACCAATACTCCCCAAGTTGTTAGTGTTGTTATCATCACCATCATTGCTAGTGTTCCCTACCGTCGACCCTGCAAGTACTAGAGCACTAAATTCTCTACTAATACTCGTGAAATTTTCACTTGTAGTTCCTTCAATGCTTGCCATGGATAAGTTTGATGATATATGGCTACTTGTTTCCCAAGACTCTCTTCGATTGCGAACCGACCGAGGCTGAGGTGGGGTTAAGGCATGGATGTCTCTGATATGTTCATCTTCATAGTTTTGATCATCTTCTCTACTGGTTGTGGTTAAAGCCCTTTGATCATTCAACATACCAGAGTTTTAGATTGGGTGGTTTCAATGGTTAGGGGCAAAACAAGAAGAGGAGAGAGAAAGAGTAGTGAAGAGTCTAAGCATAGTTCTCTAGTGTGGTCTATTATATTAGACGCACATGAACCTAGTAAGGTAGAATTGAAGAAGATTAGTATGAAGTGATAGTACTTAACGTAGATAGATGGAATGTGACATTAAAAGGTAATTAAAGTTTTGAATTTTCAAACTTTCTAGTGTTTATTTAATTTGATCCTTTATCTTTTGATATTTTTTATACTCCCCCTTTATGTATGTCATTCTTTCATTTGTGCCCTTTCCCACCAAATGCTATCCACTATATAATCTTTTTGTTTCATTTGTTTATTTCTCTTTGGGTGGGTTGGTTGGGAGAAAGGGTCATGAACCTAACCAGTTGTACAAGGATATGTCTTAAACTATCTCAAAGTTGTTTGGCTGATTTGTATCTTTGTTGTTTGTTTCTTCTTCTTGTGATATTGTTAAAGTGCCTCCTCACATATGAGTTGAAAAATGAGCAATAACCCTGAATACTTTAGATGATAATAAACACGAGTTGAAAATTCAGACGTCCTAAATTTGAATTTTGACAATATTTTGGAATCAAGTCATGAAAAATTTATCCATCGTAAATACTCTAGTTCCAATATAGATGGTCTACCTTTGTTCGGACCAGAGAAGAGATTAATTAATGTGTGCGCAAATTAACTTAGACACTTCAGATCGTTAAATCAAAAAAAAAAAAAAANCGAAAAGAGAGAAGGACATAGGGTATAGAATTAAGTGGGTTGGTTTAAATTATTTCTATAAGGATATTTTGAAAATTAAATTTTTAAAATATGATAATTTAATCAAAATTTGACAGTGTTTCAAACGGTAGGATCTATGTATTACACGCGTGCAAATTTTAAGGGATGTCAGTGTAATATATTATATCTGAGGGGGTCAGTGTTTTAGTGACAAAGTTCATGAGGTCTTGATGTAATTTACCCAAAAAAAAAAAAAATTAGACCAAGTTTGGTCACTATATATATGTTTCTGCCTTCTGATAAGCATAGAGACTAGAGAGCAAAACTAAACGTTTACGTGGCGGTCACGGTTCCAGTTGGTGTTACAAAGATATTTTTTGGGCAGTGAGTAGTTCCATTAAATGTTATCTTCTGTTATTTGGGCCTGTCCAAATGTAACAAAACTGTAAAATGTAGTTACACCATATTAGATTTTTTTTTTTAAAATATACATTAAAAAATGTAGAATTATTAAGTACTTAATTTTGATACTTATTTGTATTCAAGTACATAATTTGAATTTATCTATTTTTATTGTGATATTTTTGCCCTTCATTAATCCATGTGTATTTAATGCACCATTTTTCTTTGAAAAGTGGTGCATTAAACGTCATCTAGTTTTATGGGATATATATATATATAAACTTGTTAAATCACGTATCTAAATTTTGAATTATGTTTTAATGCATCTTGATTCATGCATTTTTTTTTTTAGAAAATAGTTTTATTTTCAAATTAATTCAATATCTGAATAGTGTAATAGTGTAACAATAACAATGTAATAATAAAAATGTAACACTAATAATATAACAGTATAACAATAATAGTGTAACAAGCTATTTACACAAAATATTGTACTATTACATTTTGTCAAACATATAGTTTCATATAATTTCATTCAAAATAGTTCATCTCCGTTTTAAATTTGTTACTATATACAAAAAATTACTGAATACTGTTTTTGTTATACTATTATATTATTCAGATATTAAATTAATTTAAAAATAAAACTATTTTTCAAAAAAAAAACGTTTGAATCATAGTGCATTAAATATAATTTGAAAATAAAATCACTTTTCAAAAAAAAAATCGCATGAATCAAGGTGCATTAAAAATAATTCAAAATTTAAATATGAGATTTAACAATAAATAAATAAATAAATAAATAAATATATAAATATATATATATATATATATATATATATATATATGTATTAACAANTTATCTTCTGTTATTTGGGCCTGTCCAAATGTAACAAAACTGTAAAATGTAGTTACACCATATTAGATTTTTTTTTTTAAAATATACATTAAAAAATGTAGAATTATTAAGTACTTAATTTTGATACTTATTTGTATTCAAGTACATAATTTGAATTTATCTATTTTTATTGTGATATTTTTGCCCTCCATTAATCCATGTGTATTTAATGCACCATTTTTCTTTGAAAAGTGGTGCATTAAACGTCTTCTAGTTTTATAGGATATATATATATAAAAACTTGTTAAATCACGTATCTAAATTTTGAATTATGTTTTAATNCATCTAGTTTTATGGGATATATATATATATAAACTTGTTAAATCACGTATCTAAATTTTGAATTATGTTTTAATGCATCTTGATTCATGCATTTTTTTTTTTAGAAAATAGTTTTATTTTCAAATTAATTCAATATCTGAATAGTGTAATAGTGTAACAATAACAATGTAATAATAAAAATGTAACACTAATAATATAACAGTATAACAATAATAGTGTAACAAGCTATTTACACAAAATATTGTACTATTACATTTTGTCAAACATATAGTTTCATATAATTTCATTCAAAATAGTTCATCTCTGTTTTAAATTTGTTACCATATACAAAAAATTACTGAACATTGTTTTTGTTATACTATTATATTATTCAGATATTAAATTAATTTAAAAATAAAACTATTTT